GTTTGTTGAAATAATTGGTTGATATAATTGTTGACGTAATTTTTCTTCTTTCAAGCGTAATCATTTTGCTTTTCATCATCGAAGGTGTAACATTTTTACATCTATTGGTATCATTGGCAAAAACAAATTTTTCTGTTTTTAAATATATTTGTTTTAAAAGCCGTGTTTTACATGAATAAGGGGTAATGGCAGAAACTGTAGCTTTTTCTGCGAGACATTGGAAGGCGCAGTTTTTAACAGTATTCAATACCTTTTGCATATCATAAAATATAATTTTTCCGTTTTCGGTAACGCGCGTGAATTCCTTCCGTGAGAACGTAAGAAAGAATAAGATAAACACATTTCCATCGTATGGATCGCGCGCATTAGATTTCTGATCGGAAAACAAATTTAACTTCTCTTCGAAGACAATTTTAATCAACTTCAGAATGAGAGGGCAATAGATCGGCCTGTGATTTAAAAATATCCACTGTATCGCGTTTTTATCGGATAATCCGACGTAACCGTGATAATTGCTGTTACGTTCAGGACCGCATTGTATCGACCATACATGATTCAATGGCAGATCCTTCCCAACCAGTGTTCTCAGGACTTCGATCGAGTTGTGCGGTTTCGCAATTCTCAGAACAACCTTCTTCCGTTCTTCGTCTCTAATCGAAAATGATACCTGATTGTGTCAATATAAAAAATATATTATGGGATAAATTATCGTAATTAATAATCACTACTATAAATTAAATCATACTTCTAATTTTGTAACAGCTATAGCCGCGATAAGAAAACAAATGGTAGATGTATTCCACTTTTTATGAGGCATTTCGTGAAAACCGTAGATGGACACCGTTGTGCCACACGAAGGTCTCTGCTCTACTTGCTTCAAATTGAATGAAAATCCCATCTCGAATGCCTTTAACGAAAATAAGTAAAAAAGAATCACTCTTGAAAATCGCAAATAATATAGCCCATCTTTTAAAGTCTTAGTTAAATTAAATTTATAAATTTAATTTAAATAAGAAGTTTATAATTAAAAATACTAATAATATAAATTGATGTGAAATTAATTTATCTTTGATTTTACAATTTTATTTAAAGACGTATACTTTACGACAAGAGCAACAGGAGTGTGCCTATATTTTTATATTAATTATTTTCATTCATATTGCCAAATAATTTAATAACGAGTTAACAACTACAATTAATACCTTCATGAACGTCTCTTCAGAATGTTGATGCCTTGAAGTAATCGTAAGACGATCAGCCAAACGACGGATATCTGCCAGATTGTTTGATTCAAGCTGTTTGCATACCTGTTGCTGATCGCCTATGGGTTCTGCATTATATTTCGCGATATGTTTGAGCATGTCTTTCGGTATTCCGACGCCATTATCGACAACTTGAATTTCGCGTTTTGTCGCGTGAATTCTTATTGCGATTGCCGCGGCGTGTGCGTTCAAAGAATTCGCTACCTATAACGTTTTATCCAGTTTTACGCCATTATTCGTTCCTTAATTTACTTAATAAAAATAGATACAAGATAATTATATATACATATATTAGATACGATAGACTAACGAGATATTGTGCTGGGATAAAATGTTTCCACTTTTCTTTATAATAACACAGTGGATTAAAATATAAAATTTGACAATTAAAAACGCAGTTAATGCCGTAATAAATAAATCAGAAAATATCACTTGAAAATTAAATTAAGAGAATGCGTAATATCCTATTAAATAATTCAAATTGTTAAACCGCGCAGATAATGGATTCTAAAATGGATGTATTTAGAATGTAATATTTTTTAAACGCAATAGCCATATTTGAAAACGCGTAGAATTTACGAAGATGCGCAATGCCAGAAAAACTGAAACGCATATTCTTATGTAAATTATTTTTTTAGTATTAACGTTTTATGTTACACTTGTGCTAGTATATACATAATAAACGATTCGTGAATAATAGGAATATAATTGTGTGAAATAGCGTACCAATTTTATGACGCATCGTTCGAAAGCCGCGATATTTGACATCATTAACGTTTGCACAGTCAATTGTTCTGCGTTAACCTGCACCATTCTTGTAGCTCTGTAACGAGAAACTAAGTGAATAACGGAAGCCGTTTTTTGTTTTAAGAGTGTTCAAGGGAAACTTTCATCATGGCGTCGAGAATCACAACACTTCTTATCTACACTTTTTACATTTCACCCATTACCTTAGATAAATATCGTTATTTATTAAGCACTCTAGAAACTAGTCTCCTCTCGAGCGCCGAAAAATAATAAAAAATCAAGTAATATAATAATAGTGGAAATTGAATACATAAAGTAAAATATAAAAATAAAGTTTAAAAAAATAAAAATAATAAAAACAAAACCAAAATAAAATATAAAAGAAAAGCGAGAATAGACGAGCAGATAACAGGCGCAAAATTATATGACGCAAAAAGAGTTATGAACTTATACTTGGCAGATAACTATACAGTTTGTCTTTAAAATCACGTAGAGATGTGGCACAATGAATTTGGAATACGCGATATGCCATTCCAAAACTTTGTCGCGCAACAGTAGAAAGATTGCTTAAAAAACGCTATGCGCAGATAAAAGCAAATAATCCTTTGAAATTCTAGTGTACATATAAAGAGAATAATAATGCAAATATATGAATATGTATAATAAATGAATATATGCAAATAAATGAATATACGAAGTCTGTCCAGTGTCCGGAAAGTATCCATTCAATGGATATATCTTTGTATGCATATTACCTGGGTATGCTATTGTAGAAAACGGGTATTCACCATTTAGAGGAACCTTCATGAGCTTGGCTCCCGTCAAGCGGCACGGCCCTGCAGATTTTCTCACAGTTTATGTCATCATGGTACTGATCGAGATTCAATTTAATCTGAAATCTACACTCAGAAAAAAATGCTGTTGATTCAATTAAAGTCTATATTACGGGCTCTCACTAACATAAGTGATTAATTCACGTATATTTTTATTGACGTAGAACCATAAATTATTATTTCAATAATCAAGCCTTTGTGTCAATAAAATATACGCATGAATTAATCACTTATGTTAGACAGCCCGTAATATAGACTTTAATTGAATCAACAGCATTTTTTTCTCAGTGTACGGGAAGGAAAAAAAAACCGATACCGTAGTTGTGTAAGCATTGTCCTTACGGAAAAAACGTTGAAAATTTCGAGAAAATACTGAAAATTGGGTGAAAAACATTGAAAACACAAGATCGGATATTTTCCGGATAGACCTAATAATATATGTATAAATGGAAATTCTCTACATCAAAATATTAGATATATAAATATGTAAAATGTGTATATGTAATAAACTATAATCTTTAAAATGCAAACGAAACAAACAAGTTTATTGTTGTGATTTGCAATACGGGAGATCTCACAATCAGATTTCCGCATCATGGTGCAAAAGCGACGCGAAAGCAATCTCATTGTTTCCAATTTAGTAAAAAAGTTAAGTGGAGGGAAAAAATAAGCGGTGATCAATCGCGAATGTATTTATAAAAATCTCTTTATTCTTTTTTTTCTTATTGCATCTACTAAAAAGTTCCTGTATTCGTCTCTTTCAAAATGCTATGTATATAATCCTGGAAAAGAAGTATGGCTCTTTTTTTTTCTTTAATAACAAGTGCCAAGAACGTGACAACTTAATATTAACATTCGAATAGCTTTACACGGTTCTTTCACCCCGCGTTTGGGGTGCGCTAAGAGTATTTATTAATATAATTTATTTAACATTCGGGCGAACGACACAACTAGGAGAAACTTTAATCGTAACGATTACCGCAAAGAATCCTGATAGCTTTAATGGGAGACCTCGATAAAGTCGCTAGCAATTTTATATCTTTCTATAACAATCCGCATAATAAACTTGCGAACGGTCTTTGAAATTAGTATACTGTTAATTATGATCTAAAGAGACATTATGGTATTTCTTATTATTTTGTAATTTAAATTATTTTGGTACTTGGAAACTTAACAAACACAGCGGATATAAAAATAGTTTAAGTTGTACATATAATGCGTACATATATATATACACATATATATACATACATAATGCCGATTATAATTATATAATATATATTATATATAATTATATTAGTATAATTATATATTATATAATATTACATGTATATATGTATATATATATTAGATTTAAGACACGTGGAAAATACGAAGTATATTGCTCGTATTTCAATTCGTCAATTTGTGCTATTAATCATCTGCATCATTTACAATTCATATAACATATCTGATGATGATATACGTGTATATAGATATTGTCTATCTCGCTGTCCGTATCATATCGCGGACGCACGCGAGACACTACTGTGTCTTGATGCATACATATATGTATGTGTATCTTTATAAATATATATCGCTATAAATTTGATACAATTGCATTACCCAGTGCTTCATGAGTAAAAAAATAATTTAAGTCTCACCCAATAAATTTACCAAATATTTAGATATGCTTAGAATAAAAAATACATATAATTTTTATAGATATGGTAATTGTGATGTTTTATAAGATTTTATAAGCATTTTCTTACAATAAAAAAAATTCTACTAAAAATAGAAGTACATTATTTTAATAATACATGTGAATAATTTTAAAAGAAAACGTGAATAAATTTATTTTCTGTATTTCAATTAATTATTATGAAACACTGGTTGCACATGGCCCTTTCCTTTTCTTCATTAAATAAGTGATTTATTTACGTTGTGTTTAAAAATGTAAATGTACAATTTCTCAAAGAGAGTATCTTAGCGTCAAAAGCAAGTCTGTAAATATTTTTATAAAAAAATTATATAAAAAATTAACAGCATACTCTTTTCATTAGCAACGGTTTTCCCAATTTACACTTTTTCTTCGGATTACATCAGTAACAGAGAGTTCTTATTACAATTGGACATATTAAATATATTTAATATATCGCGAGCACATACTAGACATATTCAATAATTAAGAAATAATATAAAATACATGTTTCTTCTTTTAGAGAAGCGAGCTTGGAAGAATATAGGTTAAATTTCTAAATTAAAATCTATACATATACAAAAAAGCATAAATGTCGGATTGAGAAGCTCGCTATATAGCATATCGTAATGAGTTTATTGTAAAATTATTGTAATAACAATCACATATCGAGTCATCTATCAACGAGATATAACACACATATTAAAATGATGAGACATAAATAATTTAGCAGCATCACCAAGTATCTTGACGCTAGTATAGCGTTGAAAAATCATGTAACATTAAAAATATATTTATATATATATATATATAAATTGACGAGTTATTCCTATAAATATCCTCTAAAATCTGCTGTGATAAATCAATCACTCTTAAAAACAAATTCGCGATTTATTCAACTTTAGGCACCAATGGTATGCAGACCCTGTCTTTGGTACATATGACCGATTCGATTTTTGTTCATATCTGAATAAAGAAGACGGACTATCACAGTCTTCTGCATCTGAATATACTTATTTCATAGCGATTTCCTCGTACGGATACTTCGTCCTTACATTTTCCTTCGTTCTTGCATATTCAATGCAAAGAATTTGTATTATTACATTTCGTTTATCTGTGTGATACAGTCCTAAAGCACGTGTTCATTAACAAAAAACTCAGTCTTCTTCCTTCTTCTCCGGCTTCAAGTCTACCATTGCGTGTATCTCATCAGGGCTGTATCTGTAAAAATAGAAAAAAAATATTATAATTAATATTATATCTTCAATTTTAAATAAAAATTAATATATTGAATGTTATTTTAAAATTGTAGAAATATAGAAAGTAAATTAAAATACATCATTTAGCAAGAACGATTCATTAAATTTGTCAATGTATAAAGTTTATTTAAAATTTTAAACAATTGCAATATGTATGTGTTTATAATTACCCTAGTAGACTTTGTAAGTCGCATACAAAGCGATATACGTATCGCTTGCCAGCAGTTTTATGTATAATATTCTTATCGTAATAATAGCGTAAGCCTCGGCTCAACTTCTCGTAGTTCATCTTGGGTTTGTTCTTGCGAATACCCCAACGACGTGCAACCTCGTCCGGATCGGTCAGTTTGAATTCCCAGCCGTCGCCGGTCCACGAAATGAAACCTTGACACGCTTTGTCAGTTAAAAGCTCCAGCAAAAATTGCCATAGCTGAATTGGACCTGATCCAGTAAAGCATGGTGGGCCGCCACCTAGAAATATGCCATTTGATATATTTTATTAAGGTTCTCTTAATATCAAAATATATATTAAACAGTAAAACAACTTTTTAATAAAACATGATAAAATGTTTAGATCTATAAAAAAGAATGTAAAGAGTTGATTTGAATAATTCACTACTAGAGCATACGTTAAGTAATTGTCAAGCAAAAAATACCGATTTGATTTTCAGAATGATTACCTCACATAAACATATATAACATATATGAGAAATTTTGAAGGGGAAAATATTTCACTGTGATAAAAATATTAAAAACAAAATATCTCCGGATCATGAATTTAATGCCAAAGTAATTGAAGGTAAATAAATGCTCTCTCTTTTATAAGACAGATAATCTCCAAATGATAATAAGAATAAATCGGGGAGTTGGTCACGGAGGTAATTTTTGTACAAGGGTTATAAGAATTCAGCGACAATCCAAACGAAATTTTGGGTAATCCAAGGTAATTCGTAAATCTAAATCTTTAGCGTTTTCAAATAATCTTATGTAATCTAATAGGAAATCCTAAGTAATCTGAGGATAATATATCAAATAATTTGTAGATAATTCTAGGTATTCTCAAAGTAATCTTAGATATTTGATATATTACCCTTAGATTACTTAGGATTTCCTGTTAGATTATCGAAGTAGTCTCAGATTATTTGTTCAGGCTTAGTTTAATTTAACACGTTGTGATATCGTTTAACAAAGAGTCTGTGTTACTATTGGTGTTTTTTAAATATTTTTTTATTTTATAAAATACCTACTAATATTTATATTAAATTGGATATTGTTTTGTTAGTATTAAAAAATCTCAAACGTTATAAGAACTTGTTACTATCTATACATATAATACATATTCTGTTTGCAAAATTTTTATATTTTTGTATACCTGTATGCAATAAATATTTATTTTGTAAAATTGTGTTTTTTTTCTTAAGCAGTAAAAATAAAAAATCAATGTTCTTAAAGATACTTATCATAGTGGTCTATAAAGATATTCTATAATGATTTGAAGAAATAATACTTTATGTACTCGTATAAGATAATCTTAGATGAGCAAAGTAAATTTGGAAAAATCTCGGGTAATCTCAGAAAATATGACATAATTTTAAATACTCTAAGATAATCTTGAGTAATATGAGGTAGTATTTGATAATCTGGAATAATTTGAGGTAGTATTAGGTAACCTTAAGTAATCTGAATTTAAAGATAATCCGAATCAAAGGTAATTTTTGTACACTATAACCGCTCGTGACCAACCCCTCGAAATAAATAAAAAAATGTAGAAGAAAAATCTATTAGCAAAATATGTTATCAAATTGAATTTACCTGGATAACCGGTGAGCATTGAACTCTGCAGTAACGGCTTTTGGTCTGCATTATTGGCGATAGATGTGGGATGATGAGGATTGGAGGAATCTCGTGGTCCAAGTCCCGCAAGAAACGCGGGATGATGAGGCAGATGATCCCCAAGCCCGACACTCCATTGGTCACCGCCGACGCCGCCGCCTCCAGCACCGCTTCCGCTTCCGGGAACCGTTTGGAACGGCGTTGCATCGTACTGCCCGTATCCGCCGCTCTCGCTGTAACCCTCGTGGTAGCGTCCTGTCAAGTAAGAAAAAAATATCATTTCATTAATGTGCTTGCAATTAAAAATATAAACGTGCTGTGAAAAAATAAGAAACTAACTTGGTTAGATATACACATCTATTAAAGTTTTAGATATATTGATTATTATACACACAACATACGAAACAAATTTCTAAAGATTATAGTCTATATATAAGACTATATTATAGTCTTCAGAAATTTTTTTTCTTTTTTCATTGTGATCTCAGTTCTTGTCTACAAACCTCGAGGATAGTTCTTGAACGGTGACGGCTGGTATTTGGGCTCGATGTGAATTCCGCTGGCGCCGTAAAAGTCTGGCGAGTTGTCCAAATTGTACGGATGCGGCGCCTGGTGATCTTGTGACAAGCTGTGATACTCGGACGCCTCGTCGTATCCCGAATAATGCGCCGGCGTCATGTAACTCTCCGTCGTGGCAGTCGCGTTGACTCTCAAATCGCTCTCGTTACTACCTGTGCCCGCGAGCTCGCCCCCGCTGCTCAGGCCACCGCCACCGCCTTGAAGATGCTCAGCTATGTGGTGATTGCTGTAGTTCGCTAGAATTTTTTATTTTTACGAATTTTTACTTCTTGGATAATCCTTTTTTAACTGATGAAATTTAGTAAAATTAATAACAATACCCACAGCAAAAAACGTCATAGTTATATCCATAGAGATAGTAGTACTAGAGTACGCATTGGAAGAGTGGGGGTAAGCATATTTACAAAAGCATATCTACAAAAGGACGCACTCATTTGAGTCCTTCCTTTCTCTCTCGTTTCGCGCATGCGTATAGTCGTATACTCTCGAGAGAGAGGATCAAAAGAAAGAACAAGGAACTGAAAGTTTCATATAGTTGAGAAAGTATAACGCACATGGCTCCATTATATTTTAAAAAGGTATGTATTCTTAAATATAAGATTTTTTTAATGTTAATTATCTTTGATTATTAACTCTCTCTCAGAGTATACGGCTATACGCATGCGCGAAACGAGAGAGAAAGGAAGGACTCAAATGAGTGCGTCCTTTTCAAGATAGGATTACCCCCACTCCTCAAATTTCTGACAATGCATACTCTAGTACTACTATCTCTATGGTTATATTACAACAATCATGGTTACGTTATGGTGACGTGCGAATGTCCGCTTTATTACAAATATGATGTCACAGCAATGTTATGGTGATATGTGAATGTCTTTGTAACATATGTTATTTTGTTATAATTACAATCTCACAGTGACATATTGTCTTTCTGATTACTGTGACTATTGTGAATGTGATCCTTTGCTATAGGGGTAATGTCTAAAATTGCACGATATTTTAATAGAAATTAAATTATAATTTTATGTGTAAGTGTTACGTGGGCAACTATTTTGCCACTACTGAACCATTTGTTGGGATAGAATTGGTCCACAGCCGCGGCGATCGTCCGCTACTGCATCAATAGTTGACCAGGAACGGAAACGGGAATTCCACGTTATAGCAATAAAAAAAATTCTGTTCTCACTATGAAGATAATTTATTTGCGATCGAATTCCAAGAGAGACCGTTCGTGAGTTATAGTAATGATGTTATCGCGAGGCTGGTAGAGTTAAGTATATCATATCCATGCGTTAACTATATCACGAGAGAGAAGAAAATTACGCTGGTTGCCAAAACCTTGAGTGAAAATGTAATGTGTTACTCGCGAAACTCTGACTAGCATCTGTTACAATAGTTTTAAATTTTGTATTTCGTCTCGGTCGATAGGGCTAGTAGGTATACTCTATCTCTATCCATTTCGGAGTTACACGAAATTAGATAGGTATTTTTACGAATTCGTTCCTACCCGTATCAGGATGTATAAAAAATCCTCAAACCCTCGTATCAATTAGTACGTAACAGCAAGAATGAGCAAAGATATAAATTATATATTATTTTAAAAGTAATTTTAATATAGTCGTTTTTTGTATTCAGAAAAATTGACAATACATTTTAGTCAGAAGCACGATACACATAAAAAATTTCAAAAAGCAAATTTTATAAAAAAAAATAGTCTCGCGCTATTATACCGTATATGTCATCTCTTGAAAAGAAAGATACTTCTGGGGTTTGATATCATGTCTATGTTTTATGATTTATTTAGGATAAATGTGTTTCGTGAATAAAGATTGTAAAAACGTTTCCAATAGATTCTACAGAAACTTAAAAAACGAAATATCTGCACACGTAATACTATAGACATAAGTCAGAAACTTACATTCCGTTTTGAGCTGATTTAAATTCCTTAGATGGATGTACGCGTTGTTGGCATTGTTGTTGTTATTATTGTTGTTATTACTGTTAGGGGTACTAGAGTGAGAGGTCGGTGGTTGAGTGCTATGGCTGTGAGGTGGAGGCGACGTTTCGTCTCTTTGACTTTCGTCTTGGCACACGGGGCTGCGCAGGTGATTGTAGCCGCCTGCAAATTGAAAAGAATAATTCGTTCTACATTACAATGTTTTAATAAATATATGACAAAAAATTAGTCAATCTGATTATCAAACATATCAAATTCATTTTCTTTCAATATATATCTATGTGTCTGTAAAATGCACAAAAAGATAAAGAATCGCAATTAGTTAATTTGTCCATTACTGCACTGAAAGAAAAGACTTTGTTAATTTAACAAGTCATCAGTACCTTTAACAAATGACTTGTGAATATGTGACAACAAATTGATTTGTTGTGATTGCTCATGCTAGTCTGCTATATCAACCAATTATTAATAATATTCTCGGGAAAATTAACTTTTAACGAAGTTCAAGTTTTTAAAAGTAATTAAGAATTTAGGTATTTAAAAAATTTTGAGGTAATTTAAAGTGTGTAAAAGGTTAAGTGAAAATAGCCCAAAATTTTTGAAGGATAACTTTAATATAATCGACACAGCGCGCGTTAATTTCTTTCAATTATCCTTAGGTAAGTTTTAAAGTTACTTTAAAGAAAAGTTTAAAGTTAAAGTGTTCAAATTTACCTTTATTTCTTTTAGGTTTTCTCTACAGTAAAGTTTCCCAAGAGAAGCAAGTAGAAGCAAACTATGGCTGCGTTCAGAAACGTCGCTTGAAAACCTACCTTTTGAGTAGACTTTAGAGGGGTCTACATAAAAATTGTAGACGATCATGTGGCCTTAAGTCGAAGGAAACTGATCAATCACAATTAGATATAGGAAGAATATTCGTTTAGAATTAGTCAATTTCTTATCTTCCGATTTGAGGTTCCTACGACCGCGTTCACTACTTCTATACAGTATAGATAAGCCTTTTATTTACTAACGATATTGTTGATTATTTATTACAATGACGAATGAGAAATAATTAATTTGTAATAACTAATTGATTGTTTTCTTAACAAGTAACACATTTGTTTACACCTTTGATTTATTCCTACAACAAAATCATTTCTCTCAATGTGCTTATTACAATCCTGATATTAAAAGAATAATTCGTCGTGGATATTGCAACACTTACGATTACAATTATATATTCCTATCGGTTCTAAATCAGATTGAAAATTAAAAAAGCTTTATTAAAAAATATAATGTTTTTTATACGATCCGTATTTATCTTGAAGTGAGTGATACTCTATCTTATCAGTATTCTGAATAATACTCTATTTTCTCAAGCGTCGCGACGTCCGCGGATAAGGGAGAAGGGACGATGCTGCGTTACCGCGCATCTCGCTTCGCAGACCAACACTCCGCAGGGAGGAACCACCGCTGACACGTGGGCGGCGCGTATCTCGATGATTGGTCCGAACGAACTCCGCCTATCCTCGACTTCCGTTCTACGATCGCGCGAGAGAGAGTTCGGATATTACGCGAGGCTGAGGTTGAAGTTCCGCGCTCGTGCGGCGTTCGAATCGCCGAATTAACGAATTGTTACGATGCGCGTCAGCCTCAGAATGAGACTTCCACGCCGTGACACTTGAGACTTGAACTTCAAGACTTAAGTAATTTCTATTTTTTTGAACGTAAATTGCGTTTCTGTCGATAAAAGCATGATTGCATGGTTTTCGAGGAGTCCTTGGGGAATGCTCATTTTCCAAGGGATTCGTTTTTTTTTTATGAACGTTCATTAAAATTATTTTTTATTTTTACAAAATAAATTTGTTTATTTTTTGATTTGTGTAAATTAAATAAAAATATTTTGTTCCATATATAGAACAGGCAGATATTTATCCGTTGTTGCATTATACGTCGCGGTGGCAGTCGTAAATAATGAATTATATAAATTATAAAACTTTGTAATATAAAGGTGATTGGTACATGCGCATGAGAATGAATGCATTACATTATACATTATATATTAAAAATAGTCTGGTAATAGCTACCAATGTTGAATGAAACAATTTCAAATGTTTAGTTAATACAAGCAAAAATAATGTCTAAATATATATATTTAGTAAGTATTATTAAACATAATAATATAACCAAGTGTTTTAAATACTTACTACATATTTATAAAGATAAAATAATTTGTTGTTATATTAACCAAAAATTTGACTGGAATTATTTCATTTTACATTAGTAGTTATTATCAGACCTTTTTCAGTAAAATTTATCTTAAAACTGTCTACATACAAAGAAGCTATTTCTATAAAGCTTCTTAATTCATGTAATTTCGAAGAAATTGTTTTTAAACATGATTATTTTCACAATGAGATTATTCTACTTTGTAGTTTATAGAACGCGTTTCGGATAGGTATTTAAAAAATTTTTATCAAACTCTAAAAAAAGATAAAAGAAACCAGGGGATTATTTAATCACATAAGAAGGCAATCGGAAGTTGGTCAAATAACCTGTCTTATCACGTATTCGCTACTCGAGATTCTTACATTTCACGCTAATTATTTTAATGCTGATCTAAATGCAGTCAATTGGAAAATTAAATATAACAGTGGCAATGAAGAACAAAAATAAAGTCATAAAATAATGACAGATAATGAGTAAATTTAACCGCCACTTTGACAAACAATCCAGTTCTTAAGATAAACGTTCGCTATTATATTCGTCAAGAATACAAAATAAATTGAAACAAGCGAAAACGCGGGTCCCTTAAAATATATAAGTTTTTAACTGAAAATGTATCAGTTGCTTTGTAATTGTTATTAAATACAAATTAAATTAAATAAAACGCGAGGTTGTTCGAATTCTTTGGTACAGAACGCTATAGCAAATGGAGTCATTAATTTCAATTTATCTAGGATTTATGCAGCGTCAATAAGAAGCAGGTGACGCTCAACATGTTTTATCTGTTAAGGCGAAGCCAGGTGGCTTGCCAGGATTATTAGGCCTGTTGGGCCCTGCTATGCTTGTTACATATCTTTCTTTCTACCTTCACATTTACACGATATAAACAGTTTAGTCGATTAACGCACCGCTAGAAATGATCTGTTGTTCGTAATACGTAAAACGCGATGAAATGCGGGTAAGAGACTGCGACGAATTATCATAATTCGCCAACTTTTATGTCAACGAAACGACAGCATTCTATCGCACATGTGACGCGTCGCCACCCCACATTCCCACACTTACGTTTTAATAACGAAGAAAAAAACAGGTGAGACCCGCCACACAAGTGTCGCACCACGTATCGTTAATTTTGCTTAGCTGTGTTTAATTGAACGTAATTACGAACGGGGAAAGGGAGGAACCCGCAGAACCAGCTTTAAATATCAGTTTCCAGCGAGCATTACACTTAAAAAAATATGTTATAGATCAAATCAAACTTAAATAACAGTGTTAATAATGAAAGAATGAAAGAACAGATGGTAATTAGAATATTACATATGCTTTCAGGAAGTAACATAAGATTTTATTCAGTTATCGACATCATAAAAAATTATGAAAATAATGTATATAAATTACGAAAAATATGAATCTATATTATTCTATGTTAAAATTCATTAAAATTAAAAGATTTATGGAAGAATTATTGTATAACCGTATTACACGTAAAACTTTATTATATTAGGGAGTTTTTTTGCAACATCATTTATCCAGATCACATGATCTTCTTCTTAACAACTAATTAAAAAAAGGACTTTAGTGTTCACCGTACCTGGATCTACGTTATAAAACTCCTTATTATAGCAACGTTTTTCGTGCTTTTCTTTTCTAAATCTAAAAGATTGTAGGAGGATATAAAAGATTTCATATCGGTCATACAACCGAGGATCATAGATTATTTGGGAATTTAATCTTGCGACTCGATATACCAAAAGTTTAGTTGCTTTTTGTTGCACAATCACGTTGAAATGTGACAGCTGACGTATACGCAACTACCCAAAAGATACCGAGAATTCGCCTGACGATTATTGCATTACCGAGCGTCTTGAGCGCGCTTTCCCGTAGAAATAATTACTCGCGAAGCCCCTCCTGCTTTCCCATAATTCCCGTGTCCATGTGGCGACCGTGGCGTCGTTAATAGGGCCGTAGGGACAGACCCTGCATATTCTAAGTACACCTGCGAGGCTCGCGTGTAGTAGCTGCACCTCGCACCCTGTGTTTCATGGACGATGAGCGTGGGAGTGAAGCCTGAAGCTGGCCCTCACGCTGCACACACAGGAGCATGGCTTTCTCTCTCTCTCCGTTTTTCTACTAAAACCAGTCACCGTTCAGAATTTCAAATATAATACGCCTAAAAATGCATATTGGAATAAGGAGCAAGTACGTTAAAAAAACTTTTATATAAAAAAAAGTTTACTGTCTCCTTATCGAAAAGTAACGATTGCAATTACAAATTACTATTATTATTGTTTTGCAACTATAAATGCTGCATACACTATATTACAAATATTACAATTAACACAGTTTCGTGACCAATTGGCATAATGAAGTAGCTATTTTTAAAGGCGTAATCATTTGTGACAGTTATTTTCATAAGCTAAGACTGATAAGAACAGTTATAAATTGTTAACATAATTACACGTACGTTTAACTCGTTATCCTTGTAGCAAGAAATGACGTGTAATGACGAATATCGATTTTCGATAACATTTCAATAATTGTGAATTGCTCTTTAATGAATAAATTGATATTATTACAAAAAAATAAATTTTAATATTTTCGTAAATTTTTAAAACGTTTTCTAGTCAAACAAAAAAAAAACAACCAATTACTAAATTACAAACCAAATTTCTAAATTAAACTAAAAATAAGCAAATGGTTATAAAGTCTTGAAAATATTTCCTTTTCGTAAAATGTGTTTCTCATCTAAATATGTGTAGCTCCTTCTACCCAACTCAATGACACAGAACGTTCGTTAATTACTAGATCAACGGACGAGGAAATTTCAGCAGCTACGACGTCCCGAGGAGTGTATCTCGAAGCAGGGGGAAGCCGTTGCGAGAAAGTAAGTTGCGGGGACGTAAAGGGACGATGCACAGTCGGGCTATGGTATATCGGGCGGGCAAAAGTAGCAG